CTGACCCGAATCCCCTGGGGGAGAATTTCGTGGAGTCAGGGGTTGGTGTTGATTCAACCATGAAAACAAAGGGCTCCTTTGTCCGTGAGCTCATTTTGATCCTTCAACAATCTGGGCAGGTGGGTAGGGTGGATGAGTAAATGACCTGCTTTTAGCAGATGAGAAAACCAAGGCTCAGGAATATGAAGCAATTTGCAAGAAAGCACACACGTGTCAGCCTCTGAGACATGACTTTGTTTTTCTTCCTGGCACTTATCACTATCCAACAATGCATTATAGATCTGCTAGGTGACTTGGGGGTCTTGTCCTCATAGAACATAAGCGTGGTGATGACAGGGGCTTGATCTCTCTACTGGGAGGTACTGCAGGGTGGTGGTCAAGAACTTGGACTCATGGGACTTCCCTGGTGGTCTAGTGGTTGGGACTCCCCACTTCCACTATAGGGGGCACGGGTTCCACCCTTGGTCAAGGAACTAAGATCTTGCAAACCCCAAGGGATCGGCAAAATAAATTAATAAAAGACAGCTTTTTTTTTTTTAAATAAAAGAACTAGAATCAGAAACCAGATTCCAAGAGGTTTGCCTCTTGCTTCTCTCCCTGCCTCAATTTTCTTGCCTATAAAATGAGGATAACAGTGGTTACCAGTTAGGCTTCTTGTTGTTCAGTCTCTAGGTCATGTCTGACTCTTTGTGACCCCAGGGACTGCAGCACACCTGAGGACTGCAGACTCCTCTGTCCTCCACTATCTCCTGGAGTTTGCTCAAATTCATGTTCATTGAGTCGGTGATACTATCTAACCATCTCATCCTTTGTCCCCCCTTCTCCTCCTGCCTTCAATCTTTCCCAGTGCCAGGGTCTTTTCCTGTGAATCATCTCTTTGCATCAGGTGGCCAAAGTATTGGAGCTTCAGCTTCAGCATCAGTCCTTCCAATGAATATTCAGGACCGATTTCCTTTAGGATGGACTGGTTTGATCTCCTTGCAGTTCAAGGAACACTGAAGAGTCTTCTCCAACACCATAGTTCAAAAGCATCAATTCTTTGGTGCTCAGCTTTCTTTATGGTCCAGCTCTCTCATCTGTACATGACTACTGGAAAATAGCTTTGACTAGATGGACCTTTGTCGGCAAAGTGATGTCTCCGCTTTTTAATACACTGTCTAGGATTGTCATATATTTCCTTCCAAGGAGCAAACCTCTTTTAATTTTGTAGCTGCAGCCATGAAATTAAATAGGTTGTTGGGAGAATTGAGTTCATACCTGTAAAGTGCCTGGCATCTAGTAGATGATCAATAAAATATTTGTTGACTGAATGAAAGCTGGAGCCCTCTGATGGGAACAGCGACTCCAAGCGCAACACTCTATTCAGGGAGATGGAAGTTGTTCTTGGTGTCTACATCTGGAAGCCCCTGGGCTCAGCATGCACAGAGGGCTGGGCTCTGCTCCCAGCAGAATAGGCCTGCTCCTCCTTATGCAACGGTCTCCCCTGCCTGTCTTCCTTTCCGCAGTCCCTGGAGCTCTGCGTCACATTCTTCACTAGACCCCAGCAAGGATGGACAGTTAGCTAGACTCTCTCTGCCTCCAAGGAGGCTGCACTGTTGCCTACTGGCCTCTGGTGGGGGAGAACTGTGCTGTGTGCTGGAGCGGGAGGCAGACTGAGGCAGGCAGGGGAGCTGGGGAGATAAAGGCAGAGGAGTGGCGCTTTGATCCATCCTATGCCTTCTGCTCCTTCTCCAGCCTGAGGGCCACACCCCCAACCCCCGCAGCACCCCCTGCAGGGTCCCCGCGTGCCAGGACCAGGGCCCATCCATAACTTTGGATGGAGCGAAGTTCACAGTCAAGGTGAGTCGATGAAAATCAGACCGCTAATGACTTCCCTGGTGATCCAGCTATTTGGTGCAGAGGATATGGGTTCAATCCCTAGTGGAGGAACCAAGAGCCCACATGCCCTACAGCAACCAAGCCTGCATGCGGCAACCAGAGAGTCCATGCGCCGCAATGAAAGACCCCGCGTGGCGCAGCTAAGACCCGATGCAGCCAAATTATTAAATGAATAAGTTTTGTTGTTTGTTTTTTAATTGGACCCCTGTGCATATCCATAGCCAGGAGGCCAAACCTACAGGTTCGGTACCACGTTCCAGACCCTGGATTGGAGCCAGCTGCTCCTGGGATAGGCCCCCTTCCTATGAAGCCAAACGCCAGCTCTGGAAGGTCCACGGGGCAGGCCTTTCCGGCCTATGAGCGCCCCTTCTGTTGGAGATTCAGCGGTCACTCTGTCCTGCACACCCCTCGGGGCCAGCCCTGTGCCAGGGCCTCCTGCTATGAGGCTGGTCCATCCATGATGGCAGGGCATGGGGCTGGGTATGGTCTTCTCTCCTCACTTAAAAGGAGAAATGTGACCTTGTCCAGGTGGCTACAAAGTGTTGGCTTCTAGAACATTCTCAGACCACAGAGCGCTCTTAGGTGGAAGGAGTTCTATGACTCTGAGTCTCACTTTTGACCTTGGGTAAGTCATTTCACCTCCATGAGCCTCCAGTTCTTCACTATTAAATGGGACTAATAACAATAAAAACAACTACCTCTAACTTCACAGAAGTGATGAACACAGTTGTGGACTCACAAATGCTTTTTAAAAATTTGTAACTAATCATCATCAATGAATGATGCTGAGCATCTTCTCACATGCTTATCTGTCACCCAGATAGCAGAGGGGTGAGGCATCTGTTCAGGTCTTTTGCCCATTTTTCATCATCAGATAGTCTTCTTTCTCTTTCTTCCTTCCTCCTTTCTTTCTTTGGGCCATGCCATGAAGGATGTTGGGCTTTCCCGGTGGCTCAGACTGTAAAGAATCTGCCTGCAATGTGGGAGGCCTGGGTTTGATCCTTGGGTTGGGAAGATCCCTTGGAGGCGGGCATGGCAACCCACTCCAGTATTCTTGCCTGGAGGATCCCCGTGGACAGAGGAGGCTGGCGGGCTACAGTCCAGGGGGTCGAAAAGAGTCAGACACGACTGAGCGACTAAGCACATGTGGGACCTTAGTTCTCCAACCAGGGATGGAAGCCATGCCCCCTGCAATGGAGCATGGAGTCTTAAACCCTGGACCACCTAAGAAGTCCCTATTTTCTTATTAATGAATTTTGAGAGCTCTTTGTGTATTCTAGACCCAAGGCTGTTGTTGGATATATGCTATGAAAATGCTTTCTCCCAGGCTGTGGCTTGTCTTTAAAGTGTTGTTGAGTGCTAATAGGCTGCCTACGTATTAAGAATGTTCCCACGTGACTCAGAATGAAGACCCCAAGAAACTCCCCCTCCATGTACCTCTGCTTATCTCTCTTGGGCAGCATGCCCTGGGCACGTTGGGCTCCTCTGAGCAAGGTCAAGTGTTGGAGCCATGGGTTCTGAGAACTTGGCTTGGGGCTGGGGCTGGCAGGGGTAGGGCCAGAGTTGGAATATATTTATCCTGCCTGGTGACCCTCAGCCAGTTTCCACAGGTGTTGGCAGTCATGTCCTCAGCAACCCGATCCCCACCCCTTTGGGAGCAGCTCATTACAGCTTCTCTGATCACCCCGGCTCTGCGTTCCACATGGTTTGGACGTATAGGTTATTGTTAAGCTGTTGGGGCCAGGGCACGCTGGACCCACGCCTCTAGGGATCTAAGTTCTGGAAACTGCTGATCAGGAGAAGGGCAGCTGAGTCAAGCCTCAGGCTTCTGGCCCCACCCTCCCACCTTGGGCCTGGAGCAACCCCTCCCCAGGCACTGCCCACTCAGGCTGCCACCTCAGCTCCTCCGGAGAACCTCTTTAGAAGCCCAAACACCATCATTCTGTTCTCTCCTCCTTTAAGGTGGCGCTGGCAGTAAAGAACCTGCCTGCCAATGCAGGAGATGTGAGAGACACGGGGTCAATCCCTGGGTCAGGAAGAGCCCCTGGATGAGGGCTCGGCAACCCACTCCAGTATTCTTGCTGGAGAATCTCATGGACAGAGGAGCCTGGCAGACTACAGTGCATGGGAGTGCAAAGAATAGGACATGCCTGAAGCGACTTAGCACAGCACACAGTTATTTCCTTATTCATTCATTCATTTTGGCTGCACCAGGTCTCAGATGTGGCACATGGGATCTTTTAGTTGTGGCATGTAAGTTGTGGCAAATGAGATCTGGTTCCCTGACCCAGGCCCCCTGTGTTGAGAGCCAGAGAGACCCCTAAGCCCCTGGACCACAGGGAAGTCCCTCCTCCTCTCTTTTTTTCCGGCTCTCTCTCCCTCTCTCCTTCTTGCAGGCATCTCTGAGCTAGCTTTCCATAGAAGGGAGCAGAAGGGAAAATTCTGCAGGAGACTGCTAGTGGGATGTTCTTGTGAGGATGAAAAGCAGGAAACAACTACATGTCCATTCATAGGGGATTCATTCATAATCTAATTATGAACTATAAATCAAGAGAGGTAAAGGCACAATGGATGGTTTTCAAACTGACAGTGTAAATTCATATTCATCGGCATGGAGCAAGGCTGACAGCGGACTGTTGGTTTTTGTTTTTTTAAGAAAGGCTATAGAACAGCTCCAGCCCATTTTTGCAAAATGGCACCTGTGTAAACAGAGGCCCTAAGAGCTTATCTGAAAGGATCGTCAGCCAGGTGGTTGGACCCATTAGCTCTGGGCGGTGGGATTTCAGGTGATTTTTTCCTTAAACCCTCTTTAAACTTACCCGTGTTGCCTAAAGCTTTCTTTTTTTTCAATGAGGAGGATGGTTTTTAGGATTGGAAATTATACTTTAGTGTAAAAAAATGTAACGAATGTTCATCAGAGGTGTCTCAGGAGTTTCCCTTTGGCTTTTTCGCCCCAGGGTGGTGGTTGGAGGGTCCTTCCTGGCACCTCCAGAAGCTGCATTCCCAGTTTCTGTTTGGTTCCTTGGAGGAGGAGCAGTGCCCTCCCAGGAGGGTTGCCGGATGAGGCCACTGCAGGTGCAGTAAAGTTCACAGTGTGCTCCTTGAAGGCCAAATACACATACAGGGTCTGGGCCCAGAAATAGCTCCTCGCTCCAGAGACCCCTTGGAATCCCGGAGTGTCAACTCAGGAGGGGAGAGCCTGAGCAGGCTACTGCTGGAAGCATCCTTGCAGGCTCTGAAATGGAAGATGAAGCCCAAGACCGGCTCCTCTGACACAGCGCTCTGCATCGGGGCGGATGCAAACTGGACCCGGGCGAGGAGCTCTCCAAAACCAGCCCGGCTTGAAAACTCTCTGATTCCAAGCCAACTGGGGAATTCCGAATTAGTTGTGAAGCCCGTGGAATCCCAGAAATATGGTGGTCACGGCTGCTGCGCTGAGGTTTCTTCAGCTGCGTTTCTTTCTTTTTCATCCTGCGTTTAGACCTGTACCTCGGTTTGGTTTCATTTGGCACTACTGTGCCATTTTCATTTTATTGTCTCAACACATCTAAAAGTCTTTTTCGCTTTTTATCCGTCTGGCATCATTCCTCTTTGTCAAGAAGTGTTTATTCTTAGTTTTCCAAAGGAGAGAATCTCTGCTTTCTGTGAGTCTCCCAAGGTCAAGCACAGCCCAGTGTCTGAAAAACTGGTGGGTTCAAAGCTCAGTTTAGGTGAACAATCTCTCATCTATCCATCCAACCATCTATCTGTCTATTTGTCCATCTATTATCACTATCCATCCTCCATCCATTCACCCACTCATCCAACCATCCATCCATTATCACCATCCATCCATCCATTCATCACCATCCGTTCATCCATTCACTCACTCATCTATCCAATCATCCATTCACCCACTCATCCATCCATCTATTCATCATCACCATCCATTCATCCATTCACTCACTCATCCATCCATCCATCATCATCACCATCCATCCATCCATTCACTCACTCATCCATCCAATCATCCATTCACCCACTCATCCATCCATCCATCATCATCACCATCCATCCATCTATTCATCATCACCATCCATTCATCCATTCACTCACTCATCCATCCATTCAGCCATTCACCCACTCATCCATCCATCCATCCATCATCATCACCATCCATCCATCCATTCACTCACTCATCCATCCAATCATCCATTCACCCACTCATCCATCATCATCACCATCCATCCATCTATTCATCATCACCATCCATTCATCCATTCACTCACTCATCCATCCATTCATCCATTCACCCACTCATCCATCCATCCATCCATCCATCCATCCATCCATCCATCATCACCATCCATCCATCCATTCACTCACTCATCCATCCATCCATTCAACATGTATTTATGTCCCTCCCTCTGGGGCCACAGACTGGGCTGGTGTGAACCTTGTCTGTATTCTCCTGTACTCTTTGGGGACAGCGTTTCTGCCTTGGAGCTGTCAGGGGAGTGTAATCTCCTCGGTTCTGTCTCATCAGAACAAAAATTTGAAGTGACGGACGTTAAAGCCCTCAGCCTCTCACGGCTGTCAGGCAGACGGTGTTATAGCTCTCGGCTCTTGGACAGACCATGTTATAGCTCTCAGACAGATCAGTGTTAAAGCTCCGTGTTACAGCTCAGTTTTATTTAGAGAATAAAAGGAAAATACATCCTCGAGGTGTGAGGGCATGCCGACCCAAAAGACAGGAAGAGAAGAGAGAGAGAGTCCCGGGCTTTTGGCTCCTCTTTTTATGTATTTTTCCTCCCCCTGGGCCTGTGCTGGGTAAATTGGGCTAGCTAGTAATGCCGTTGTTCTACCTGAGGTCCCTGCTCGGTCCTCTGACCTTCCTTTGTTCTATTTTCGTGGGCTTTTCCCTTCCTTCTCCCTTCCTTGTCTTTTAGTCACCTCCATTCTTAACTACCTACCAGAGCCATCACAGGGAGCTGGAGCAGCGTGCTGGACACACGCTACTGTCTTTGAATTCCTACCTCACTCCCTTCTCTGAGCTGGTGCTCATGTCAGCTTACCCAGCTGTCACGCCAGGGGCAGTAATGGTCGACCAAAGGTCCTATGTGCTCGTTGCAACCTGGGTGTTTGAGCAATGGCAGCTGGGAGTTCTCAGTTCCCCAGCAGCAGGGAACCTGCTGGGTTCACACCTGCAGCTCACGGAGGCCAGCACAGAGCAGGGTCCCAGAGGAGGAGGAGCTTTGGCTCCCAGGAGCTGCTCCCAAAGGAGGCTTATCCACGGCCCAGCTCCTGAGGTCATATGGTGTCAGGAGAAATGCACCAGGACCCTGGACTCTGGGCACAGTTTGTGCTTCTGCTATTCATAGGCCTCAGTGAGGAGAAAACTCACCCCAGGAAAGCAAATTCTTAGGACAATCAGGTGGATGAGAAACTTGGGAGGGACGGTGCTGAACAGCCTAGAAAACAGAACATGCTTTTAGGAAATAAATACTGCGTAGAGGCGACTTTACTGGCGAACCTCAGACCTGATAAACAATCAGATTGGTTTCCTTTTTCTGTCTTTCTGCCCCACCAGTTTTGTTTCCTTAATATCCCCACTCTTTCTCATCTCCTCGTTCTGGGTCAGATAGCATCTCCCAGGAATCTGAAATGAGCCATTCTGCGTCAGCATCCTTAGGATGCTGAAGTCCCTCTAGGACCTGAAGACTTCCTGATACATGTGTGCACACACACAGACACAGCCCCAAAGATACACACACACACAGATACACAGACACGGACACGGAGACATAGATACATGCAAACACAGACACACACACAGATACACAGACATAGAGACACACATAGATACACAGACACCCATAGAGACAAACACAGACACACAAGACATACACAGACACACAGGCTCACACTCTCAGAAGCCAAGGGGGGTGACAGCTGCATTCATCAGGAGCCGCGGATTCCCAAAGACTGACCTCAAGGACAAAACCTTCCTTGTATCCCCTGAGGAATGCTGACATCAATTCTCCAATTCTGGGTTTTCTTAAAACCCTTTAAACGTTAGTAATATACCTGAACAGGCATTTATAAACAACCAGTGATGTACAGAGTTGGGGGGATGGTGGAGCAGGTGGCCGAGGATGTGGATAACAAGCAGGAAGGACCCTGACCATAGAGGATTTAAAGACAAAAATGAAAACTGAGTAGAAATCTGTCTGCATTTACTACTGCCTTGCGTTGGCCATTATAAACACAGTCAATGGTAAATACTCCCCCCTCTTCCCCACCACTGGGAGGCTACTATAAATAACAGTGTCAATGATGCTACAAAAGCATGAAAAATGTGTTCTTGTTTTAAAGGAAGAAATCAGAAGGAAGGAAATTCTGACCTCTGCTACAGTACGGACAGACCTCGAGGACATCACGCTGAGTGAAATAAGCCAGTCCCAGGAAGACAAGCATTGTGCGATTCCACTTATATGAGGTACCCAGAAGGGTTACACAGACAGACAGACGGTAGAAGGGTGGGGCCAGGGTCTGGGGGGAGGATGGGGGCAGGTGTTCAGAGTTTCTGTTTGGGAAGATGCAAAGAGTTCTGGTGATGATGGTGGGGACGGTTGCACAAGAATGTGAATGTACTTAATGCCTCTCTGTAAGCTCAAAAATGGTTAAAATGGTCAATTTTATGTTATGGTAGTTTACAACCATAAGAAAACAGGGGAAGGGAAGGAGGAAGGAAGGAAGGGAGGGAGGGAGGGAGGGAGGGATGAAATGAAATGAAATGAAAGGACATAAAAGAAGGGGGAGTCAGGCGTGACTCCAGCACGGGGGCAAAGGTGGGGCCACACAGACCCTATCTTCCTATCGTGTGACCTCAGGTCATTCACGTCGACATCAACAGCATCAGTCTCCTGCTCTGTGAAATGGGATTGGTAATCCCTCCATTAGCAGCATCAAGGCAGGTTAAACCAACAGGTCAACAAACCCATCCAGGTAGGAGTTGGTTGGGAAGGTGTTGTAGGAACCTGCTTCCAGACCAGTGGGCAGCTGGCCCCTGGGGGTCAGCCCGGAGCAGAGGTCGGGAGGGTCTAAGAGCGGGCCTCAGTGGAGGGTGGGGCTGTGGAGGAAGGGGGTGGAAGGGGAGGCTGAGGTCAGGCCCCCAGCCTGGGTGGACAGCGTGGCCCTTCCCCACGACTGGGGCAATAGGAGTTGGAGAGGATGGAGTGGAGGACTAACATTCATCCGAAGTCATCTTCCTGATGCTTTTCCAACCCTCTGGGTGGCGAATGTGGGCTCCATGTGGTAAGGCAATGAGATTTATTCAAAGGACGCCGGCTCAACGCTTGGCTGGAGAAGGATACTGAGCGCGCCACATGGTACACCAGGGTACATCCCGGGTGATGGAGGGGTCACCCAGAGCACCACGGGGCAGGGGGACAGCCTGGCTCTGAAGCCAGGCTTAGGCATTCAGCAGATACAACCAGAAATGACGCTTCCTGGCCGTGGGGATGAAGCAAACAAACACTCCTGCCCTTGTAGAGCTTTTGTTCCATTTCAGGGGTGGGGATGGAAAATAAACAAGTAAGGGAACATATAGTATTTCAGATGTTAGCAAGTGCTACCCGGGAGACCCACAGGATGAAGGAAGTCCAATATGGATGTAGGGTTAGTGGGGAGGCTCATTCAGAAAACTAAGATCACAGCATCCAGTCCCATCACTTCATGGCAAATAGATGGGGAAACAGTGGAAACAGTGACAGACCTTATTTTTGGGGGCTCCAAAATCACTGTAGATGGTGACTGCATGAAATTAAAAGACACTTGATCCTTGGAAGAAAACCTATGACCAACCTAGACAGCATATGAAAAAGCAGAGGCATTACTTTGCCAACAAAGGTCCGTCTAGTCAAAGTTATGGTTTTTCCAGTAGTCATGTATGATGTGAGAGTTGGACTATAAAAAAAGCTGAACGCTGAAAAATTGATGCTTTTGAACTGTGGTGTTGGAGAAGACTCTTCAGTGTCCCTTGGACTGCAAGGAGATTCAACCAGTCCATCCTAAAGGAAATCAGCCCTGAATATTCATTGGAAGGATGGATGCTGAAGCTGAAACTCCAATACTTTGGTCACCTGATGCAAAGAGCTGACTCATTTGAAAAGACCCTGGTGCTGGGAAAGATTGAAGGCGGGAGGAGAAGGGGATGACAGAGGATAAGATAGTTGAATGGCATCACCGACTCAATGGACATGAGTTTGAGTAAACTCTAGGAGTTGGTGATGGACAGGGAGGCTTGG